CACACACACACATACTCACACACACACACACACACTCACACACACGCTCCTGTGTTTAGTCCTTCAGCGTCAGTGCAGGATGAAGCTTAAACTGTATTTGATTAGCATCACATGACACACAGCAGAGCCGCGCGACTCACCGGCTTCAGTGTAACGCAGGCCCACCTTCTCCTCTCCGTCCTCTTTAGGTGGAGGCCAGACGGCCTGCAGACGGCCAGGGGTTCGATCCTCACCGTCGGACGGACACGTGACCTCAGACTGAGCAGAAACAGAGACGGTGTGCAGAAAAATCACTGCACTGCATGAACACACACACTCTGTTCCATTCAGTACTCGTATTTAATACTTCAGAACTAACCAAAACTAACAGAAAGTCACATTCATTTATAAAGACACAGCAGAGCGCAGATTATCACTTATCAAATTGGCTCTGGTGAGTAAAATAAAACATAACTTGCCAGCATGGTAACATGATATAAGTCAAGCTGTAAGAGAGAGAATCTCCACCGAAACATCTGATCATCTGTGCTGATTTTCACCAAAATGCAAAAAAATTAAATAAATAAATAAATTATGGACAACAGTAAAATACTGTTTAATAATTAAAAAATATATATTTATTCAAATATTTAATAAAATTAAATAATTTCAACAATTAAAAATCAATACTGTTAATAAAATACTGTTACTGGTTGCTTGTGTTATTTCACAGTGCATTAACTAATATTAACAGATAAAACTTTTGATTTAAAAATGTACTGATAAATGTTGAAATTAGCATCAATAATAATAATAATAAAATACTTGATACTAGAAAAGTTTTGCAATCTTTTATAGAATTTATTTCACTAATTATGTTAACAACAGCATGAAGTAAAGATTGAACATGTTTTCTGTGCATTAATGAATGATCACATTGATTGTGGTGTAATTAATCATCTGTATGATTACAGTATTGTACTGTATTGTGATACTCTAAGAAATAATTAAATGATAAATAATAATAAATAAAAAAAAATTATAGTATTTCTATTTTTATAGGACAAAATGCACCGTGTTCATTGCCTGTAAACAATATTATTAATTAATTAATTTAATTAGTAATTATTAATTAATTTTTTTATTTATTTATTGCCAGTAACTTATTTCAGTTAAATTCACTGACGTGTAACAAAAACGTTCATTTGGACCCTTAAAATCAGATAAAAACTGAAAAATATAATAATAGTAAAAAAATTATAATAATAATAATATTTTTAGTAAATTTCTATTTTTATTAACGTTCATTTGGACCCTTAAAATCAGATAAAACCGAAAAACCTAAATAATAATATCAAACAAACAAACAATAAATAAATAAATAGTATTTCTATTTTTATAGGGACAAAATGCACCGTGTTCATTGCCTGTAAAACAAATGATTTTGCCAGTAGTGTCTCGCCTTTAAATAAATAAAGAAATAAACAAATAAATTATTTATTTATTGCCAGTAACTTATTTCAGTTAAATTCACTGACGTGTAGCAAAAACGTTCATTTGGACCCTTAAAATCAGATAAAAACAGAAAAATATAATAATAGTAAAAAAAAAAAAATAATAATAATAGATTTAGTAAAAATCAAATAAATAGAAAAAAAAATTAAAATCAAATAAAACATAAAAACATAAATAATAATAACAAACAAACAATAAATAAATAAATAGTATTTCTATTTTTACAGGGACAAAATTAACTTTTCTTTGCTTTCAAAAAATATTTATTGCCAGTAAATTTTCTTGAATAAATCCGCTGACGTGTGTAGCAGTGGACCCTTAAAATCAGATAAAAACATAAACTACTGTAACTACGATGCTAGAAATGATTCACACTCTGAATTTATTTGATTGAATAAGTACGTTAACAACAGCATGAAGGGAAGGATCACGTCGATAAATCATCTGTAACACATACTTTCTCCTCAGCGACCGGAGCTTTGCTCAGCTGTCTCTCAAAGATAGACCTCAGCAGCTCTTTATCGTTCTTCTTCTTCCTCCGAACAGCGTCCAGATCCAGCGCTGCATCCAGCGGATCCTTCTGAGCAGGTTTCGAGCTGAATAATATGGATTTGTCAGCAACAGCATCAGAAGACGAATCCGTCGCCGCGGATTTGTCCTCGTTCGATACTTTCTGTAGCAACCCGGTGATTTCAGACAGACTTCTGGCTTGGTTTTTCTTTTTAGTTTGTTGTAGTTTGGCTTTGTTGACGTGTTGTTTGAGGCTCAGCAGCGCTCGGTCCGCGTCTCGCTGTTTGATTTCTGCAAGCGTCTCCCTCTCGTCTCCGAGCGCTCCTTTCTTTAACACCCGTATCCCGCTGAACAGAGCCGGCAGCTGGTGTCTGTTGTCCTGTTTGGAGTCGTTTATCGCAGAAGAGAGAGCGATAGACCCGGACCCCGTCTGTGGAAGATCTGAGGAGGGTAAAACAGAAGCTGCACTCTCAGTCTCTTCTTTTTGGGAATCGGTCGGAGATGTCGGATCTGCTCCGGAATTCCCTTCTTGGTTTGAATCACCTGAAACCAAAGAAGCATCCTCACCTGCGCTACGAGACTCAGAATCAGGTTTGAGAGGAGGAACGAAACTTCTGTTCGGTAATTCTGACGCTGAATCTACGCTCCGAGACGGCACTTCTTTTCTGGAATCGTCTGACGAACGATTGAGTTTCGCGTATGGACTTGTCCGACTCAGAATCGAAGCGTCTTTAAGCGATCGCTCCACGAGACTCTCGGCTTTGACAACGAACGGCTCGAGTCTGTCCGCGGATCCTTCATGTTCCCTGTCAACGACAAGAAGACTTAAAGCGGGGTTTTTACACTCATACTTACCAAAATTCACATGCAAAAAAACGATTTTTGGTTTGTTTTCCAGTACAACTATCTAAACATTCTTAAATCAAGATATAAGTGACACTGGAGCACAAAAGCAGTCTTAAGTCGCTGGGGTATATTTGTAGCAATAACCAACAATACATTGTATGGGTCACAATTATACATTTTACTTTTACGCCAAAGATCATTAGGATATTAAGTAAAGATCATGTTCCATGAAGATATTTTGTAAATGTCCTACCGTAAATATATCAAAACTTAATTTTTGATTAGTAATATGCATTGCTAAGAACTTAATTTGGACAACTTTAAAGATGATTTTCTCGATATTTAGATTTTTTTGCACCCTCAGATTCCAGATTTTCAAATAGTTGTATCTATCAATTTGCCCTATCCTAACAAACCATACATCAATGGAAAGATTATTATTCAGCTTTCAGATGATGCATAAATCTCAATTTTGAAAAATGGACACTTAAGACTGGTTTTGTGCTCCAGGGTCACATATTACAAGATACATTATTTATTTTTTTTTATTTTGAGGGGAAAAAAGCATTTAAAAAAGTGAGTTTTTGCTTAAAACAAGAAAAAATATTGGTCAGAGAGGAATGATAATCCTAAAAAGTCTGCAAATAATAATCTATAAATAATCTCGTTTCCCCTTTGAATTAACCCTAATTATTGTGTGCAATTTTCCTTTTCCTGAAAATGCTAGTTAATGTTAAAGTTTTGGACTAAAATGTACTTTTAGGTTATTACAACTTCCCCAAAAATTTGGATTATTTTTTTTTTTTTTTGGGGTTTATTATTTTTTTTATTTTTTTTTTTTTTTTTTTTTTTACACTTGTGGCATTGCTGGTCAAAAATTACCCACAAAAATTATCCCAAAAATTGCTTATTATTATTATTATTATTATTATTAAATATTATTTTTTGTTTTATGTTTTTTTTTTTTTATGCTATATTATTACCAAATCTCGGATACAATATATTTTCTTTCAATAAGCACAGGTTTGGTATTTCTTCCTGGAACTGATTGATCGTAGGCAAAAACTGAGGTGCATGAGCTCATATCAATGAACCGTACGATCAACCAGATCCAAAAAGAAGCACAAAACCTGTGATAAACGAAAGAAAACAAACTGAATCCAAGATTTGCTGATCATACAGCACAACGAAAGATTTACAAGCAACTTTTAAAAGCCCATTTGAACCAGGAAGACCAGCACAAGGGTTACGTTTATGTTTCTTAAGATATTTTTCTTGTTTTTAGCAAAAACTCACTTAATTTTGATACATTTTTTTCAGAAAACAAGAATTAACATCATAACATCACCATTTTCAACAAAAAAACGATGAACTAAAACGCATTTTGGGGGCCTGAAAATGCAAACTTTTGAAAACGTGCACATTTTTACCGTTGTCTTCTTCATTTAGACTACATAAAAGCCTACTAGTGAAAACGGCGACGTCATGCGTGTGCGTGTTCACGTGTAACATCGCCATCTACTGGCCAGGCATCAGTAATACAATTTTTAAGTCATTTTTTTCGGATCCATGCGAACGGGGAATGTTTTATTGTCTGTAAGTGAAAAACGCAAAGGAAAAATGTTCTGTTTTTACTACACTTAGTACTACTACTAATGATAATGATAGTAATGATAGTACTACTAATAATAATACAATTATTATTAAAACATTATTTTTTAAGGAATATTTACCAGTAAAATTATTTACCAGAAAAATGTAAATACACAACACAATAATAATAAAATAATAAAAATAATAATAAATTAGTTTTTTAATAAAATCATTTAATTAGAGATGCTTTTGATTATTAAAATTTAATGAAACCATTCAAATGGAATCCAGAAAATTAATGGAAAACACAGAATTTGGTAATAAATTGCTGTTAAATTGTGTAATATTCATTATTTCAATTAATTAGACATGCTTTTTGATTGATATTTTTAATTTAACCATTAAAACAGAGTCAGAGAAAATTCAAATGGAAAAAGCAGAATTTGGAAAAAAATAAAAATGGAATTTGGGGAAAAAATAAAAATGGAATTTGGGAAAAAAATAAAAATGGAATTTGGGGGGGAAATAAAAATGGAATTTGGAGAAAAAATAAAAATGGAATTTGGGGGGGAAATAAAAATGGAATTTGGAGAAAAAATAAAAATGGAATTTGGGGGAAAATAAAAATGGAATTTGGGAAAAAATTAAAATGGAATTTGGGGGGAAAATAAAAATGGAATTTGGGGAAAAAAATAAAAAAAATGGAATTTGGGAAAAAATAAAAAATGGAATTTGGGAAAAAATAAAAATGGAATTTGGGAAAAAATTAAACGGATTTCATAGGGCCCTATACACTGCTGTCATATAAACGTACCCTTATATAAGTGCCTATAGCTTATTGATTATCACTGTTATTGATCTGAACTGACCTATGCTAAATAATGACACTATTTCTGTGCTGCTGCTTTGATGCAATCTGTACTCTATAAAGCCCTATAGAAATAAAGCTGTCATTTTGCTTCAAGCAAGTGCATCTCGATTTAAGAATCTTGATTTTTTTACTGGAAAACAAGGAAAAAGGTCATTTTTTTGCAGTGTGGCGGTTCCTCCAATGCGACCTCGTCACCTGACCTTTCCTGAACGCTTGTGGCTTCTTCCTCATCCTCATCGTCGATGTACGTCTCCACTCTGGTCACCTGCACCAGATACGGATCGGAGGACTCCAGCTCCACGTTTTCCTCCAAACCACCTCCAGATTTCAGGCTCAAAGGATCTGCTACTCCGATATGACCATTAACATCTTCATCAGGCAATGTTCGGAATGACGTCAACACAGCCGCCGTCTGATCCGACATGAGGAACCTTGAAGAGGTCCAAGTGTGGTCTGGATCCATATTCCTGTTTGCATTTGATCCTATGAAGTGAAATCCAACAGCTGCATAGTTAGTGTGGTTTTACTCCAACCTGCATGCGCTCTAGTTTCACAGACTGGAGAAAACAAAAGGTCTTTGTGCGTGAAAATCCCTGGGTTTCTCTCTCTCTTGCTCCAGTTCTAACGAGCTGCGAGCTGCTAAAGCATTTGGAAGCACTTTTGTTCCATGCAGTTCTAGTGAGTCCAGTGCGATTCTCAAACAAGAGAAAGAAAACGGAGAGTCTGAAGTGTCTCAGTGTTGCACTAGTCCAGCGAAAGGAAACTTACAGAACTAACGGATACGAGCTCAAGATATTTCCCAGCTCCGGCGGAGTCCGTGAAGGCTTGTTTTTCTCCTGGAGAAAGTTCGGCGCTGTCTTTGGAGAGGAAGGAGTCATGCAGGTCTGAATACTTTTCCCTCTAACCACTCCCTCTCTATGAACCTGGCAGAAATTCACCTGCGAGTGTCCGGTTACTTGAGCGCAGGAGCTGGAAGTGCAAGGCAGGGATTCAATCTCTCTCTCTTTGTAATCTCCTGCAGGGTCAGGTGGAGTAGGCGGAGCCACACTATTACAACAGTGGCTATAATCAGCTCTGCTGAGGTCACTGACCACGCCTCTCTGTTGCTATAGCGCTGACCTGCAGTGCTTGAATACAGAACCAAGTGTGCAACGAGAATCAGTGACTGTCTGCAAACTTCCTGTACAACTTCCAGTGATGAGAGACTGGTCATAGTTAATTAGGGGAAAAATGCATATGCATAAAATGCATATAGAATACAAAAAAATATATATAATAAAATATATAAATATATAAAAATACATTTTAAAAATATAATAAAAATATAAAAATCTATACGTATTTTAAATATTTGCATAATATTTAGAACATTAACATAATACTTAAAAATCATTTTAAAATGCATAAAATGCAAGAATATGCATAGAATGCATATAGAATACAATATAAATATATAAAAAATATAAAAATATATAATAAAAATATAAAAATCTGTACATATTTTAAATATTTGCATAATATTTATATAACATTAACATAATACTTTAACATTATACTGGCTATAGTTAATTAGGAGGAAAATGCATATGCATAGAATGCAATATAGAATGCATATAGAATAAAATAAAAATACATAATAAAATATGTTTTATATATAAAAAAACATAATAAAAATATAAAAATCGATGAGTATTTTAAATATTTGCATAATATTTATGTAACATGAACATAGTACTTAAAATAATTAAAAAATGTAAGAATATGCATCGAATGCATATAGAATACAATAAAAAATATATAAAAATATATAAAAATATATATAATAAAAATATAAAAACCTATACGTATTTTAAATATTTGCATAATATTTATTTAACATTAACATAATCCTTAAAAATAATAAAAATTCAAAATTAACAAAAATATCATCAGAATATAAGTATACATGTTTATATCATTTTTCTAAAACATTAAAAACTATTATAAAATAACAGTCTTCTTTCTCATAAACGTGTCTTTATCAGGTCTGCTGGTTAGTTGTGTTTCTCTGAACACATTCCGCTCCAGAAGCCAAGCGCTCCGGTCGTCACGGCGATCTGGCAAAGATCCCGCTCAAGTTCACGGACTTTTTGTTTGTTAAAAGTGTCTTAATGAAACAACCGCAACATGTGGCAACGTTCGGTTCAGAGCTGAAACTAGTCCTTCTACCAAAACCAGAAAATGCAGCCATATGCAGACATCCAGATTTAAC